CGTCCTCGTATTTTCTCCGAAACTAGAGGATCGATTTTTTTTCAAATTTGGATTTAAAATTACAGGTTGGAGTGCTACCAATGGGTAGTTCCTCCTCATGTTGTACATGTCATATTACTTGTTCATATTTACTTGTTGTATTTATTTTTAATTACAGTTGTATATTTCGTTAATAAAAAAAAAAAATTACAGGTCTCCCGAGGATGATCCTCCTTTATCGACATTTCTATCTGCCTTTTCCTTTCAAGATGGCGACCGAAAAACCTGCGTTGCTGTAGACTGTAGCGCCTAAACAAGTTTACCGATTTCAATGAAACTTCCCTTAAGTCTTCTTCTCGATGTCCTTTAAATTAATCTACATGACATACTTCAACGAAAAGAAGCTGGAAAAAAAGTTACGAGGGATGGTAAAATTAGATTCCGAATAACTCAAAAAGTATACACTTTTTTGTCGATATTGTGTCGATTTTTATTTCTATTGTGGCTCAACGAAACTTACAAGTAACACTAAGCTATAACACATGGAGCAACATAAGTCGCTGTAGGATAGAATAAATTAATATAACAGATAACATGCTAGTTTGGATAAATGATGGGTACAGGCAGATATACGGGGGAGGGGAAGCTTCCGGGCTGAAGCCACCCTCCCTCCTCCTCCAAATGATAAAATCTAATCACGTTTTATGGAAAAAAATTATCTCTTAAAGTATTATTGCTCGTGTAATTACACTTAATAGGACTCCAAGAATCACTTAAACACCATTTTATATAGCTAGTTAGTTCCTTTCTTTTTTTAAAAGTAATTATCGATATATATATATATATATATATATATATATATATATATATATATATATATATATATATATATGTGACAGAAAAAGCTTTCGGGCTGAAGCCCCTCCCTCCAAAAGTGGGCAGTTCTTAGAGTTTTTTTAAGTTCAAATATCCAACAGCACCTACCATTACCTCTTCCCTTGCTTAATTTAACTACTACGGTTTGTTAAAGGAGGTCTCTCATCCAGCGTCTTTTTAGTTTGCTAATAGTATTCATAGCAGGTCAGATGAAGCATATCTCTTTAGTAGATATTTGTATGTACGAGTAACTTAGTATGAAATTGTTAGTAAAGAGTCCTTATGAGTTGGTAAACTGTTAGCAGGTATGAGTCAATATGTAGTGTTTGGTTAGTCATGTGACCAAGGGACATTATTTATGGAGTCCCTATATTTTTGTTTGAAAAATTTGAAGTTCTGTAAGTGAGTATTTTTATCTACATCCTAAATCTGTAAGGAATCCATATAGATTTAAGTATATGTATTCAGTAGGTTTCTGCCTTAGTTCTATTTTTGAAGATTTGGAAACAAGTGAGTAAAATAGGTTGAGTCATCTGATAAAAGTTTATTTTAACATGTAGTTTCCATGCCATCCTTCTGTCAAAGGTGAGTTCAAGATATTCGACGGAGTCCGTTTGTTTTCAATGTAAATTAGAAGGCAGGTATTTCTTCGAAGGATAAATTTTATGCGTTTACATTTGTCGTCCCTTATTCGAGTTTTCCATAATTTTTACCAGTCGAGTAATTTAATGTAAGCAATGTCGTAAAGTTAGTGAGGCTTGTGCAGTGCAGAATAGTGATGTTTTGTGAGAATCGTTTCGTCAGCATATGTGGCAGTCAATGTCTCATCGTTTAGAGGTATTTCGTAAGTGTTTAATTCATAAGTATATTTTCATTTTTAGAACTAGTAAATATATTTTGGATTTTAAATATGGATATCCATCTATTCCTAACACTTTTGATGAGAATGTATATATATAATACCATAAAAAATATGCTACTTATTGATAATTTAAAATCTTGTGCCACTGAGGTTAAGGGCGCCATGTCCATTTTTTACTAAATTATTTAGTAACTAAGTAATAAACTTTGATTGCTCAAAGCAATGGAACATTAGCTCTCAACAACAAATACAAAAATGTGACGTGGTGTTCTCTACGGGTTACCCAATCGTGTTTTAATGCAAATTATTACGTGTATTAATAATATTCGCCAAACATTTAAAAACTAGGCCAAAAATCATTAGATAATGTTTTGATAAATACGTCCATAGTCATAATGGAATGCAGAACAAAACAATAAGTTATACTAAAAATGAGCTAAACCCACTTTCTAAATTAGCTAACAAAGCTATTTAACTCGAATCGAAAACAATTTGTTGTGTCTTTGGAAAAGGGAAACCGTCAAATAACAAATATTCTTCCTTGGAACATGGAAAAACGTTTCATCCATACACATGTAATTGTTGTTCGTCTTAAAACGTCAGGTTTCTTTCAAGTGCAGATGTTATTTATATTAAAATTGATATCACTAAAATGTAGGTGCTATTTATATCTTCTTTTTCACTACTCCAGTTTCATAGAAGGCTATTCTTTAATATGACATTTCCTTTTGCTTCATCACAACTATATTTTAACGTTTTTTTTTGTCCATTTTATTGTTCTAATGGAATCCTGAATGGATGGAGCGCACCACCTATAGTGATATTTTCTAAATTTAACTAAAATCTGTCTAACTATATTTTGCCATCGCCAAGGAGCCAGCGGGAATGTGTGACTATTAAATTGTATGTTTGTTAGATATTTTGAGGAATCATAATTTGTTTTCTGTTTTCACAAGTAGTTCATATTTCTAATTATATATTTTAAAAGCTAAAATTGGGATGTGATTCGACTTTATAAGTGTAGAATTTTAGATTTTTAGCAATATCTATCAAAATGAAAAAAAAAAAAGGTATATATATGTGTGTGTATATAGCAAGAAAAATGTAAAATTGACATAGAATTTTTACACAGTATATTCGGACTAAAAAGCTAGACTACATTCTTCTGTATCCAAAATTTTCTTTAGACGAACAAATCCATCCAGCTAAATCCATCTTAACGTTGCAGTTGATAAATAATTTCACATACGCTACTACTTATCGTCCACATAAGCTATGTATGAATGAGAATAGAACATTCACTATAAACAGTTGTTACTTCATTTTTTATTTTTATTGATTTTTCAATCATATTTTTACTGACTAATATAGCATTGGTTATATTTAATTTCACTGCTAATAAAGATAATGAGAAAAATAACCGAAGTAAAATATAAACCATGGATTGCATTTTGAACTTGAAAAAGGGACAACAATGAACAGCAGTAAATAGAGAAGCCAATCAGGAAACGACATTGTCTTCGCAAATCGATGGAGAAAGCATTACACTTCCGTTTATAGGCGGGTCTATCCGGTATCCATTACACACCCCAATTTTGTTATCCTCGTGAGTAAAATTACAACTACAAAGATTATTTGAATTTTTTTTATATCAATTGATAATAACAAATGCAAAATTTATATCGACATATCGGATCAAGTCAGCAACGATATTAATTTATATGTTTAAGGGGTATAGACTTTTGACGAAAATTTAAAAAAAAATTCGAAAATCCTTTTTTTTACTCAATTATTTAATTTGTAGGATTTGTAATTATTAGGAAATTATGACTATGAACGCCGTCTGATTCAAAAACAAATAAATCTGAAACCATTTTTTTTTAATCTATTATTTCAGTTTAAAAAAAAACTGTATTTTTAATACGACTGCTAATCTATTTTACTAATAAGAGAGAGAAATTTCATAAATACGAACTGGATAATTTTAACTGCGATAACGAACAAAATAATTTTAAGGAATACATTCGAGAGAAACTTTTATAATAAAAATATAATTAAATACATTTTATTAATAGATAAAATTAATACCGCAATATTTATATTGAAATTTAAATGAGTTTTTATAAGAAACTATATCCTAACGTTATATCTTGGTTTATCTCAATTAATTTTTTACAGGTGATGGATTGATATAGTTAACAATGATAGCCATAAAATGTGATATCATGTTAATTGATGAATGTCATCGGTTTAATACAAAAAGTCATTAAATAACATTCATAAAATTAAAGCACGTAGTATTTTGATGTATTTTCTCTTTCTGAAATCAAAGCAATATGCAGTTAGAGTGACTGTATGTAATATATAAGTACAGTGCTTTGATACATAAAAGGTTTAGTGTCATTTTAATAAGATCGAAAATTATACTCTTAATTATATACTCTTTAAGGTTTAACGTCATCAAAGATGCACTTTTGTTAGTAATTTTTGCAATAAACTGAAGATATCTTTTTCATAAACTGATATAATAGTGATATTAACAGGCAGATTAGAATAGACGGTTGTTTTAGTTAAACAAATGTAGAATGGAATAGATTCTGCAAGTGTGTTTACTATTTCGCTGACAACTGTAATATAAGGAATAGCACTTGAGGCAACTGTCAGCGAGAAATGTCGCTACTGCGGGCATCAATGACTCAGCAGAGAGTTGCGCCCTTGAAGACTTTAACGAATTAGCTAATTGGAGGACACAGTCCATTGGTTACTCCTCAGGGCCAATGAGAGGCCATCTTATACCCAAGCATATATATATGTACGTGTATATAATTATATATCAATCGATATATCTTTTATATGATATTGCTTTTAATGTGGGTACTATTGACCCCTGGCCGACAGACCGTGACTGATCGATAGTGGAGGGTAGAGGACCGTCTCCTGGGAACAGGAGGAACACAACTGCCGGTGGCTCCGATGCACCGCTGTGCACCCTTCACCGGTGATAACACGCCGCTTTATCAGCAGCGTCACCTATGCTGCATCTACCTTATCGAACTGGGGATACAAAATACAATTCTGATCATATTGCAGTTATGTTCGCATCAATATGTGTAGCGGGCGGAGGTGGCGCCACGTAGCGGGGCCACGGGCAACTGAACAGATCAATACACCGTGACAGCGGCTGGTACAGATCGCCCTGTCGCCGTAAGTTGCAGCGAAAAACAATCGGAATTCCGACAGTGACGTTTAACAAAATTATGGACAATGAGAAGGAGATACTGACCTTTTTCAAAGCTCTGGTTGCAGAAAAGACAGACATAGCCTTCGTCGACCTCCTGGCCGGACTGCTGAGGATAGCACTGGCGGTAGGCCATGCCTGGGAGCACTCACTGCACTAGCTACTAGATGTACATAGGTACCCACAAAGGGGGATCACGGGTGGATATCTTGTTCGCGCTGCCAATACCTAGAGCTGCCGAGCTCCACTGAGCGCAGCGCCCCTAGCGGCAGCCACCTTATCACCAGCTGGCTGCCCCTCCCTTCACGCTCAATTACAATTTTTAGTACGATTTTTCCATGTTTTATTGCAACGTCCCTTAATACGGGTGCGGATCCAGGATTTAATTTCTAGGGGATGGGAGGTTTATTTAATTTTTTTTTAATAATAATTAATCTGGAAGAAGAAATACTATAAACAGGAAAAAAATAAACATTCTTTAAATGGCCCTTAAAGTCCAGAAAAATAAATTGCATTATAGTTACAGCAACAATAATGCTTTTAGAAATAAATTTCTTATATATTTTCCTTCACACATGCTTGCTTACATTTAGTAGCTATATATCTGCGGTTTATTGCAAAAGGTCACTAAGTATATTTTTCTGGAGCAGAACTATTAAGAAAGTTTATGTGAATTTCGACCTTATTTATTGATAACAAAATATAGTGAGTGCAATAAAATGACAAAAACCCTTTTATACATCAAATAAACTAACGACAACCGTACAATTTTCTAATTTTAGAGAAGGAAAATCCATCAAATTTCTTAGTGATTTAAGGTCATGAAATGCCTTTTATGAAATAATTTTTAAAAAATCATATATAATGATTGTTTAAGTATTTAGCTTAGCCCATTTAAATAGACAAATATAGACCGAAGAAAAAAAAATAAAAAAATTATCCTCCCATTATGGGTGCGTTCAGCACAAAAGCTCCCCACCCCCTCGCGAGGAGTTTCATTTAAAAGAAATAAAATTTAAAAAAAGCAACATTGTAATGTCGTTCGGAGAAAAAAGGAGTTACTGTAGAAAAAAATTAAGTGTATACATACCTATCAAAAAAAAATTTTAAAAACCAATAAAATCGTTCATAAAAAAAAATAATACAAGTAGTAAAACTTTGGATTAATCACTGGCGACGTAGAAATTTCTCAACATTACGGAAATTGAAAAATTACACAAACCGCGAAGTATGTAAAGCGGCAGAAGACCCACGGCACATGCTGTTTAGACGTAAATAATACAGCGAAGGAAGAGAAATCGAATTATCACAAGAGAAAAATGCAAATAAAAGATATTTTAAAACATAAATACAGAGAGAAAATGAATAAGACTGAAATGTTTTTTTCAAAAACAAGGAAGAGAAATCGAATTATCACAAGAGGAAAAGGCAAATAAAAGATATTTTAAAACATAAATACAGAGAACATGATTAAGATTGAAATGTTTTTTCAAAACATTTTTTTCAAAAGGCGTAGATTTTCGACTAAAAAAAAATGGGATTTTTTACTATGTAAAAACTCAAAATAATTACTGTGAAATGAACAAATATAATATTGAATATTAAAAATTAATTTGTTTTTATGTTTGTACGGTTTTAAAGATTTTTTTTTTTGTACTTATTATATATACATGATAATATCTAAAAAAAATACAATTGAATATATAACGTATTTCTTTAGATTAAACAAAGGAAGAAAGGGAGACAGCCTTCAGAACATTGATACATCTCTAGGACGTTTTCAGCTAAAAATGAATGATGTAAAAAAGTGAAAAATATCTTTTATTTCTTAGTGTGTACAATTTCAAATAAAAATTCACAGTTCGCCTAGTTTGCCGGAGAAAATGTGATAAGAATGTCACGTGAAAATTGAGTGGTGATTGAATCATGAAATCTTGGGATATGTTGATATAAATTATTATCTTTGAATATAAATGACAATTTAAATAAAAATAACATTTAATTATCAATAAAATACTTACATACCTACTACTTGGCCCTAGCCTATTCGACTTTTCATAATCGATTTTAGTTTATGCATTTTAATCATTCATCTAGTTTGTTTATAATTGATTTTAATTTTTTCCCCTCATTGTTGGGGGGAGGGAAGGGCAAACGATATTTTCGGTCCGTCAACATTTTAATTGGGGGGGGGGGGGCGATTTCCTCCCAGGTCCCTCCGAAGTTTGCGCCAATGCGCCAATACATTTAATACATTAAAGATTAAGAGTAATTGCTACAAGGAGTTTGCATAATTTATATACCTGTTTTTCTAAACATTCACTTGGATGTCTTCTGTATCGTCGATCAAAATTATTATAGTCATTGACAAAAAAGTAACAAAAATGGGACATCCCAGTGAATGTCTCCTCGTGACAATAACTATAAATATATTAATAGATTCAATATTTATCTTGGTGGTGTATGGTTCAACTTACGAACAAAATAAAGGAAATAATTTTTTTTTTATTAGTGATATATGAGTTTTAGTAAACAACCCATCAACTAATCATTATACGTTGAGTTCAGATTAGGTATATATTATTTTAGTTTATAAAACAGGTATTAATGTGACTCATTTCCGAGGAAGTATATACAATTTAAATTACCTCTAAGAATCGATAAATATACAAAACAAAGTGTTAAATTGCAAACGTTAAATAAAAAATTCAAGATATTCAGCAAAGTATTTTGAATTAAGTTTTATTTTTATAATTATATTATTTTTAAAATTGAGGCTTTCTTAAACGACCTCTGTACAGAATAAAGGAAGTTAAATAAAAAAAAAGAAATAATAGATTTAAAAAAAAAAATTTTTAGTTTTTTTGGACAATTAAATTATTGCATTAATATTTGTTCGTTAATACAATCAATATAATGTACCAACAACGTTATAATAGCACTATAACTAAGCCATTTATGAGTACTGAATGGTGTGGTAGAGGTCCAATTATGGTCCCAGTGACAGAATATTACATTACTCAATAAGTAAATAAAAATAATAAAAAAAATTTAAAAGTACTGCTTATTCAAATATGTATCTTATAAAATAATAATGTAGAAGTGTTTTCTACCAAAAACCTCATTATGATGATTAAATCTTACTGTATGGGGTTGGCAAATAACTCCTTTCGGTTTTTCAGGATGAAATAAAACTCAATGTATTATAGACATAAAATTAATTTTAATCTACAATATATTGACTATTATTTAATATGACTTTATTTCATCTTTCCACTAACTTCATAATGCCTTGTTCATAGAATGACAGGAGTTTATTGTTAAAAACTGATCCAAGTGGTTTGCGATGCCCTCTTCCTTTTAGAATTTCTTTCCATTCATAGAGTTCTGCAGAGACCGGAATAAGTGGTAGTCACTTCGAGCTAGGTCTGGTGAAAAGGGAGGGTGGGGCAAAGCGTCACATAAAAGGCTCAATAATTTATCGTGAGTGACCAATGAGTTGTGGGGCCTAGTGTTGTCTTGGTGGAACACAACACTCTTCCGATTTGTCAGTTCTCGGCGTTTATTTTTAATTTACTGATCCAATTTTGAATCAATTGTTTGTCCTGATGGCAATAGCTCATAGAAAACAACACCCTTGAAATCACACCATTTGGAAAGCATTATCTTCTTTGGATGCAATCCGGGTTTTGACATTCTTCTAGGAGTCTGCTAGGTCTCCAAGATTTTTTAAGGACTACATTATCGTAAAATATCCATTTTTCATCTTCTGTTACCAACCTTTTCAAAAATAGGTAGTATTGTTGCCGTTTCCGTAGTGAATCACAAACCAAAATGCGTGTTGCCAAGTTGACTTCGGTTAGAGAGTGATGGACTCAAACATTAAGCCTGGAAACATAGGACCATTTAGGACCATAGCGATCTCTCGCACTGATTGGGCGGGATTTCGATCAACAATGGCCTTAGCATTGCTAGTTTCAATTTCATGTGGGCGACCAGACCGTTGAGCATCATTGAAGTCTAAATTTCCTGGATGAAATTTGACAAAACCAATTTTGACAGGTGCGTTCGGTTAAGGCATCATCCCCATAAGCACTGCTAATTTTTCTGAGATTCTGCAGCACGCTTACCCTTTTTAAAATAATACAGTAAAATATGCCGATAGTGAATGATATTTTCTTCCATATTCACAGTGCAATAGCAAACACAATACCAAGCTAGTTTCAACAAGAGTAACAGATATAGTTGTTGACATATTAGAAACAGGATAAACAATCCACCTTACGGATTAATTCATCAGATAAAAAGTGTATGATAGTGACATAAAAATAAACAGAAAAATCGAAAAGACTTACTTGCCAAAATAATATTAAGTGACCATTCAAATGTTCTTAATCTTAATATTTACGTTTTCATGAAAATCATATTTTTTTTAGAAACATAAATTTATAATAATGAGCTAAAAAATGTTGTTTTTGCTATACCTATATTTAACATAACTTTAAATGTTGTTTACATACAATAATGTAATCACATAATTTTCAGACTGCTTCAAAAGATTGCAGATTTAAGATCGTCAAGGTTACTTTGTATCCCCTCCACACCACTTTGGAATTTATGAAAGGTGTTTTAAATCTTAACCTGTCTTAACCTGTAGTATAAAATGCAAAATTGTGCATTGGATATTTTTTGCATAGTTATTACATTGTATAATTAATCAATTGTCAATTGCAAATGTTCCAAATTTACTGCAGGCAAGTTAACTGCTAATCGCACCGGGAATGCAGAAATCGTCACGTTCTTATCTTAAATGCTGAAGATCATTACATTTTTCCAACATGGCAATATCTTCTAGACCCAGAAACGTGCTATATTTAAAATTATTGCGATTCTTCCTCCATCTTAGGCCGCCAATCAAATAAAATTATACTTTATTATTGTATGAATCCAATCCATATCGCATCATCCTGAGCATAAAAACCATGATTAAAATTGTTAATGATTTTTTTTTACCATCCTTATAAACCATGCAAAATTATATTTTAATATCTAAATAGTTTTCTAAACATTAATTTTCAAAAATAGCTGAAAAATGAAATTTTTGAATTATTGACAATTGTAGCGTGGACGGTTGGGTAGAATGATCTCTAGATAGAGATTTTGTGGATAGTTAGTATAAATTATAAATTATTAAACAGAGGTATAAATGTTTATTCCCTATCAAAACTGTCTTAGTATG